CCCCAAAGCATAAGCATGAATTCCTTTAGTCTTTCCAGGGATCTCTGAGCTTTTCTTGGCCTGTCTTTTTTTTTTAACACTAATGGGTAATAAATATTTTTCTTCTTTTAAAATCTAAGATGGCTTTTAGTAAATAATAGGGGCATAGAAAAATAATAACTATGATATTGATAATAATTTACGAATCATTGGACACACTTTGACTTATTTATTCCTCATGAGAGCACAATGAGGTAAACATATTCCTTTCCACATTTTATAATAAAAAAACACGAGCTTAGAGATTTTAATTTCTCAAGAATATACAGCTAGGAAGTTTAATTCAAAGCCAGTCTTTCCGATTTCAGATTCCGGTCTCTTAACCACTGCATCCCACCATTGTGTAGGCCCCCAGCTGGCATTTTCATGCTTTGCCATCTCATTACCCTACCCCCAACCAGAGCTGAATCCTGCCCTTCCCTCAAGAGAGAGTTATCATAGTCAAGAAGCTCAGAGCTGACGTATTTGAGTTGCAGCTCTGCCACTTCATAGCTGTGTAAGTTTTTTCAAGTTAGCTAACCTCTCTGATCTTCAGTTTCCTTCTCTAAAAGAAGAGTAAATATCTGAAAGGGTTCATTGGACTAGTTCAATAAATTAGTCTTCCTAAAGTTTAGTGCACTTTGCATTGTTCCTGCACTAAGTAAGAACCCAGCCAGGTGGGCAGCATCTCCAGGCTCAGCTCACATGTCACCTTCTCCATCAAGGCTTCCTCTTTCTCAGTGCACTCTCCGCTACAGCATTTACCAATGAGCTCGTTCTCTGCTTTCCAGGATGTTTTCTCTTTTTATAGGCTGGAGCCTAGGACTGGGAGGGTTTGATGGGGAATAAGGAATGACTGCTAACAGGTGTAGGCTTTCTTTCTGAGGTGATGGAACTTTATAAAATTGATTGCGGTGATAGTTGTACAACCTTGTGAATATCCTAAAAATCACTGAATTATGTACTTTGAAAGTGTGACATCATTGAGATATAAGTGAAAGCTGTCCAAAAACAAAAAATAAAGGCAGCCCAAGCTGACAGAGCATTGTAGCGACATTACATATGAATATCAGAAGATTGCTGGGCACCCATCAAAACGGGAAGAGACTTTAGAAAGCTCCCCTCCCCCCGAGGGGTGTGTAGGACCACACTCACAAACAGCTGCTCACTTTGAGATATCCATAAGTTGATGCTACCAGTAACTGTCTGGGATGCTTTTTTCTCTCCTGAACATGTTTTCATTTTTTAAACCAATTTCTTTTCCTCAGCACGTAGGGGACTAATTTAACACTAATTCACAGACCAAAAAATACATGAATTCAGTACATACTATTATATTTTTTGAAAAGAATTATAAATTAAAATGTAAAATTGTCTTGTACATTTTTGCTACAAGAAATACCAGAGAGCTGGTACTCATTTAGACTGGAAGTGGACACCGGTTAAAACCAGTAATAATGTGTAAAAGTAGGACATGATTCCATCAAAATCTCCATGTGGTAGAGTTGCCACCTCCGGTTCATCCCCGTGGCCATGGTCCGGTTCGGGGCTGCATTACTTCTGGCCTGGACCATTACTGATGCCCTGCCTCCATACTCTCTCTCTACCTTCACTTCCACCACGTTCCAGAGTTCCCTTCCAAAATGCAAATATGAGGCAGGGGATGATAGCTTGGGTCCCAGCCTCTCTCAGGCTGCCTGGATTTGAATCTGGGCCTCACCACATAGCAACTCAGTCATCTTAGGCAACTTACTTAATCTTTCTGCTAATCATTTCTCCACATTTTTTAGTGAGCATCAAATGAGAGTAGTATGTTAAGTGCTTAGTCTAGTGGCAGGTTCGTAGCACTCAGTCACCGTAAGCTTTTATTGTTACACCTATATTCAAATGCTGCGATGTTTCTTCATGTCTACATAATAAAATTCCGTTATCATCAATTAAGTCTAATGATGGGTCATACGGGAACCTGTGCAATCTAACCTCTGGCTGTCTTCTCCCAGTTCACAACCTTCTCCAAATAGCCAAATTCGTGACTCCAAGTTTTCCTCAAGCTCTGTCCTCCGCCATCCCTCCTCTGTCTCAAACAGAAGAGCCCATTTTTGATTCAGGAACACTAACTACAAGGCTCTAAAGTGACCTATGTTTTTCCCTGTGTGGGCTTTGAGAGAAGTTGACCAAAGTAAGTCATATTTTATAGGGAAAATAAACTGGACTTCCTGGTGGCCCGGATAAAAGAGGGAGAAAAGAAGAAATGATGATTTCTAAACTTAAATCTGGAATGCCTGGGCCTGGGGCGGTGCCATTTGTTGATACTGGAAAACCTGGAGAAAATAAGGTTCTGAATGATAATTAATAAAGACATCTGTATTAGTTAGGTTAGGTTTGAAATGCAGTCAGATATTCAAGTAGATTTGGTAAGTAAGCAGTTGAATATGTGAGACTGGGGTTTGGGGAATGGTCAGGACTATGGATATAAAACTGAGAGTCATGACTTTATAGGGGGCAGTGGAGATAACTTTGAGGAAGCTCTGGGGACCAATAGCATCTAGAGACCAACTAGAGAAAGAGAAACCTGTTAAACATGGACATGTGGGTTTCCTCACTCGATACCTGCTTGAAGTTAAGTGCTGTCTTATTTATCTTTGTGTCTAGTGGTGTTTGTCATACACATTTTCAATAATGCTTGTTGAATTCATTTTAATTCTAAAAGCAAAGAATGATGCCTCTTAGAAGTCTCCCAGGCATGCACTTTAATGATTTGGCAACACTTGCAAAACAAGCACAAAGGACAACTCCAGCATCTAATTTAGGGTGGGATATTGGTGGACAGTTCCATGACTACTGGAGACAGGCGTATTCTCCCTATCCCTTAACTCTTTCCTCTCCCCTTTCTCCGGGGACACATCCAAAAGGCAAGGCCCCGGTGCGCAGGGGGTGGGTGGCAGAAAGCCCAGGATCCCAGCATGGTCCTCAAGGCTGAATACCAGGGGTCTTGAGAGAGAAGCAGCTGCCGGAACATATGTGTGATCAGTAGGAATTCCCCTTAGTCCTGGGCTGAAGCACATCTATGTATGCAATACTCAATTTTCTGTAAGGTTGCATGGGAAACTTTCTCTAGTATCTTGTCATGTTTTTTCCATTGACTTTTTAAAAAAATATATTTCTTTATTGATTTCAGAGAGGAAGGGAGAAGGAAGAGAGAGAAACATCAATGATGAGAGAGAATCATTGATCGACTGCCTCCTGCACGCCCCCTACTGGGGATCGAGCCTGCAACCCAGGCATGTGCCCTTGGCCGGAATCGAACCTGGGACCCTTCAGTCCGCAGGCTGACGCTCTATCCACTGAGCCAAGCCGGCTAGGGCTCCATTGACTTTGATAGGTTAGTATCGATATTTTTCTAACCTGCTTTGTTCCTGTGAAACATTTAAGAATTTGTAAAGCAAGACCATCCCTCTTTATTTCTCTCCTTTTGCTGCTGTTCTGATTAAGCCTTCATTATCCTCCACCTTAGCAAGTTCAATAGGCAGGCTCCCTCCCTCCATTCTCTGCCCACTCTGCCACTAGAATAACCACACCAAAGCACTGCTCTGTTATGCCATTCACCTGCCCAGAACTTCAATAGAGTCCCCATTGCTTATTGAAAAAAAAATGATTCCAAAATTCTAAGGTTGGCATCCCAGGTCTCCCACAATTGGAAATTTCCAGGCAACGTTTTCAACATTAGTGCTCACAAATCATATCTTAGGTTGTAATGAATCAAGCCCCCATTTTAACCACAAAATAGTTACTGTGCTTTCTATTTGCTGTGGCTCAGCACCTGCCATTTCTTTCATCCAGGATGCTTCACCTGTTTCTCCATCTGTTAACATCCTACTCGCTCCTCCAGTTCCAGGCCAGCACAGCCTTATTCAGGGAGCCTTCCTTATTCCACTCCAAGAAGAAATGTTATCTATACCCTGAGACAACTGTTTATTTTTTAAAGGCAGTTATCAAATAGATGATGATGATGATGATGATGATGATATAGATGGATAGATAAATAGATAATATAGAGGTTTTGTTGAGTTGTTGTTTTTTGCCTTGAAACTCTTATTTTCAATTTCAACATGTTGTGCCTAGCATAGCATATAGAAGGAACTCTAACGATATTAACTGAATGAATGTGAGTGACCCAATTAACCCAGGATAATTAACCCTCACTTCTCACAGTTTATTTATTTATTGTATAATTCTAGGTCTTTATAGAAATGTCTTAAAGTTGGGGCTCTTTATGGGGTGATCATGAGGTCTTCACATAGGTGACTTCCTTTTACAAATACTAATTAAATGCCTGGTATGTACCAGGACTTATGATGGATACTGAGAAGCAAGTAGTAAGTAAGAGCAACACATTTCTGTCCTCACCAAGTTTACATTTCATGGTGGTGAGCACAATTAAACAAGAAGGGCAGTAATAACCTAGGGGGTGTTTCCAGGAGGAACTGATGTGGAAGCTGAGACCTGAAAGAGTCCTAAACGCCAGTCAAACTACACTGTGTGTGTGGCAGGGTGTGAGGAGGAGGACATAAGGGAGGACCATGTGAGGAGGCTGGGCAGAGGCTGGAGAAGAGAAAATAGAATAGGAAAAGTCCCATGGGAAGGGAGCAAGAATCAGCAAATTAAAAGACATTCCTTATGGTTAGAATATAAGTGAGTGAAATGGAGGCAGAAAGGCGAGGAGAATGGGCAGGGTTAGGCATAAAGAGCGCTCTGAGACATGAAAGATATATTCACGGGTCTTTGAAGGATTTTAAGCAGAGCACTGACGTGATCAGACTGGCCCTTTGGAAAGATCGCTGGAAATTCATGTGCGGAGTGAATGGGAGATAGTGGAGACAAGAACCCTCCCGAGGAGACTCATAGAGGCAGCTCAGGCTGAGAGTGACTGTCAGGCACCCGCCCAGGTCTCTGCCACAGCAGTAACGGCTGTCTCTTTCCAGGGCTTCCAGGGCAGCGGCTAAGGAGACCTTACCAAGGACCACCACGCAGTAGATGCTGAAACATCGCACTCCGGGATAAGAAACAGGAACATGGCAGCACCCGTGTGAAAGGACTTAAAACCCAACAGACTCCATTTAGAAAGGAACGATGTCCAAGAAAGGGCGAAATAAGGGCGAGAAGCCCGAGGCGCTCATCGTCGCCCTTCAAGCTGCCAATGAAGACCTCAGGACCAAGCTCACAGACATCCAGATAGAGCTGCACCAAGAGAAGTCCAAGGTGAGTGAGGCTCCTGAGGTCACAGCCCGCAGCGTGGCTCTGGCCCAGCTCTGCCTACTGGCCCCCCTCCATGGGCTCCTTTCTGCCAGTTGCCTTTCTGTACACAGGGAGGGTTTCTTATGTGTGACAGGAGGGAATTGAGCAAGGGATACACAGAAGGTGACAGTAACATGGTCATGAGACCGATCTCTGCCTGGTTCAGGAAAGCAGATAATAAACATGGAGACAATGACCCCAACCACCCCTACCTCCCCTCGACACTTAATAGTTGTTGACTTGGGCAAGTCCCACCCTTGCCCTCTATAGGGTATCCCCCCTGTGGGATTTAGAGCAATCTTTCTAAAATGTACCACATCCTGTCACTCAGAACCCTTCGGTGGCTGCCTCTGCCTCTCAGAATCAAAGTTTTTCCTACCAACTACTGGGTATTTCCTGTAGCTCCCTCTGACTCAGTTCCCACATCCCTCCCCGTGGACCACTCTGCTCCAGCCTCTTGGAAGAATCAGGAGAGATACCATCACATTGAGGGCCTTTGTTCTTGTTCCTCCCCCGGTCAGCTCCAAGCCCCATCCTCACCGCCCTCAGGTGTCAGCTGCATCTGACCATAGTCTCTAACACAGAACATGCCCAGCTACTCCCCAGAGTCTGGCTATTCTTGATTCATTTCACAGAACGTTACATATTTACTTATTGTTTAAATAAATGCGCAGTTACTCCCCCATAGCCTGGCTATTCCTAACTTGTTTCATACAAAATTATATATTTATTTATGTTCTTGTTTCATGCTTGTCTTTCCTGAGTCAAGTGCGATCTCTACGAAATCAGAGACTTAATTTACCTCTGTATCCCTCGAGCCCAAATAACTGTCCAGAACGGAAAAGCTCAACATCTGTTTTTTAATGAGTTGAGGAATGAATGAAGGGTGATTTGAGCTGTGATGAGGTTTAAGTTAGACAAGTACATAAAGTGATTATGAGGATTAAATGAGAAAGTTCATGCCTAGTGCGCTGCCAGGCACATAGTAAACTCTCAAAAAATGGTAATAGTAATATTCTCTCTAATATGGTCTACACTGAATCGGTTACTTAGGAATGTCTCTTTAATTCTCTGGATCTCATAAATGGATTTGCTAACACCCATCTCACCAGAGCTGTGTGGATATCACAGGGTCACGGGTAGGAGAGCATTTTGAAATTTTCAACATGGATTGAGGCAGGTCTGCTTCCTGCGAACTGGGCACAACCATGTCCGCACTACCATGCCTTCTCTAGATAATTCTTTGCTTGGCAGAAACTGTTCTTGATCAAACTGTAGATCACAAACCAACAAATACCCTCGTTCTGTTTTATCTCTCTTCTTCCTTGACATTACTATGAAATTTTAATTATTTTCCTCCAAGTCTATTTCTCCTGGTGCCAGCCATAATAAATATTAGGTCGCCCAAAGCCCTTTGCCTCCTGTCTCGGCAAAACCTTAACCTTGGATAAACAAACTCCAATGTAAAATTTGTGAAGGAAATATTTTAGTTCCCATGAAGGTACAAAGAACATGATGTTGTTGTTTTCTTAAAAAAAAATTTGTTTGCAAATCAGAAGACCAAGGCATTTTCTTTATCTCTCTTCAGGGACACATTCAAGTGTCTCAGTGTCTCCATCTGTAATTCAGATGACTGAATCAATTTCTCCATGTCTGTGTCTCTCAAGCATCACTGTGCCTTAGAATAACCTGGGGGAACTTATTAAAAATTGAAGTCCCTGGGCCCACATTGGAAGGATTCTGATGAAATAGGCGGAGTGAGGACCACCATTTCCAATTCTAACAAACAGTGCAGACAATCCCCACGCAGGCGGTTCTCCGCCTTCATGTTGACAAACACTCCACTCTGCCATTCCTCCTCTTCTGACAGTCTGTGAACATTCCATGGGCTTTAACTTTCCCGGGGGCAACGTCACATTTCAAGAGAGCAGACTCCTTCCATTGTAATCAGGACAGGATGACGAACAACATTCATAGGAGGAGGCGCATTGGCCTGGAGACTGGTAACCGTAGACTGCCACTGACTTACAGAGAACAAACTCAGGAGATTTCAGAGAGGCAGAGGCCCTGAGGGCCCCGCCGCTGCCAATTTCCTACACATTCAAGTCTTTTACAAGGGGTAACCTGAGCCTGGACAGGGCTGCCTGTTTATCCAGGACCTGGCACTGGGGTCTAAGTCGAGAAGGTCAGCGTAATCTCCCCTTGCTCTCTGACAAGAGACGGGAAGCCGGCCTCCTGAATAAAGGCACGGCCTTATCCTCCCCTCTGCAGGCTGCCTCCCTGTCTCCCTCTCCTTGGCAGTTAATTACAGTCCCGGCACTGGGGCTAACGCAAAGCCTCCCCGCCTGTCAGCAGCCTTCCCCGAAGAACAAAGGGAATTTCGGGGGCAAACAAGTCATAAAGCAGTTTTATTAAAATAAATAGGCTTGTGTTCCCCAGGCCCAGGCGTGAAGAGAGAGCATATGAACAGTATCAAGATGGGAATGCTCACTCTCGGTTTGGTTCCCAGACTATGATGATAAAATGGCAATTTGGCTCCTGGGGAATAGACTAGAGAGTGGAAACCTTTGGGGCGATGGGGCATTACTTGTTTTTCCGGAAAGACGGGCCATTCCATTGACATTTACAGAACACAGTGTGTAGAGAGCAGAGTCATAAATGCTTAGGGCTGATAAGAGAAATAGCTACACTTTGCTGAATGTTCACTGTCTGTCTCACGCTGTAATAAACGCATTTTCTCCTGACATAACCCCAGCCCTTGCACTCGGCACCAGAGTGGCCCTGAGCAGACTGTGAAATCCCTCGGCGTTTTCCTTTCCTCATCTGTCAAATGGGATCGTAGCCGTGTCTGTTTCATAAGGGTGTATCTCTGTGTGTTCGTTTTTGTGCAGTTAGTTTGTGTCAAGCATGTGAGGTGTTTTAATTCATCATCTCGGCGATTTTTAACTTTTTCCATCTCATGGCACATGCATACTAATCACTAAAATTCTGTGGCACACCACAAAATATATTTTTTTGCTGATCTTACAAAAATAGGAGTAATTTTGATTGATTTACAAAAAATAATAATAGTAATAGTAATTGCATATGCATGTCTGACTCTGCTCTCTATACAATGTGTTCTGTAAATGTCAATGGGATGAAGGCACAGTGGGGAGAGCAACAGGCCTGGGGTGCAGGGCCGGGGGGAGTCAGCTGCAAACAGGAGTTTCCACTGTTGTACCAGCCCTTCAGACTGCAAAGCATTCGCATCCTCAGGAGGAGCCTGGGACAAAGGGCAGCAATGACTGTTCTGATTTCACTGAGGAAGAAACCCTCTCACTCATTTGTTCCCAGTGACATGTGAGTGCAGGAGCCTAAATGGGAACCCAGGCTTCCCTAAGGCAGTGATTCGGTGCTCTGTGGCTGCTGGCGCACTCTCAGAAAACCAGCACCCTTCTCTATCCTCCAGGGACTGCTTTAGAGCCTCCAGGTTCAGGGCCCAAGTTTGGGGTGCCGTATTTCTTGCGTTTTCTATCTTTAGTTTTGTTTTCAGGAAGCCTGCGTGGCTAAAATCAGGACCTGAACAAATAGAATCCTCTGTGCCTCCCCAGGTTGTATAAAATCTCCCTGAGAAGCACCTGCTGCCGCCCTTTGTCCCTCCTTGGCGTCTGCTGTTTGAGATTTACTTAGCGCCCAGGAAAATCCCCTCTGGCCCGCTATGAGTTTAGACCTCCAGCAACATCTGATGCAGATCATCCGAACCAAAGCTTTTGTTAGCTTGTCTTGCCTTGATAGCCTCTCAACCCTCCTTGCCTTTGATGGGACTGTCCAATTTTTAACCCTAGATGTCTAAGGTCCCAGGAGAGCTCACATCACTGCCATCTTGATCTTGGCAGAATTTACACTGGCATTTGGCAAAGGCCAGACTAGAATTGGGACAGAAGAGGAAAATACGTGTGAGGCTGTGTGAGGTCGTCAGGAATTCCCTTCCTTCTCTCAGAACATAAGCTTTCCCGCTAAGATTAATTCTCCCTAATGATTATATTTTACATAAAACCTCTCTCGCTAGAAGGGATTTGGTGCTGTATCATCCCAAGCCTGGTCAGTGCTCACCCTCATGCCTGTCCCAGCCCCACCCACTCCTTCCGTATACACATCATCCAAGTGTCTTCCAAGTTAAGGGTAGGTGCCCCCAATGTCAGGGAACTCAGTGCGTCCTGAGGAAACCCAAGTTTACCTTTGAACATCTATTTACGTTAGTAAAATAGTTATTACACTCTTAATGCAACAATAATAATGTTAATCTTATCACGACAATATGGGTACTTACAGTTAGTTATGTTGTCAGTATTTATGTAGCACCGCATAGCAATATTTATAAAAATTATATTGTAGTATCTACCATATATGAATAATTATTCATCTCCCTTGTGGGCCAGCCTTTCCAAAGTATGTTGATACCTTATCTAAAGCATTCCTCAGAACTATATGAGAATGATAGCACCAGTCCTGGTTTACAAACAAGGACACTGAGGCTGAGTGGTGAGGCGGCTTGTCCAAGCTTTCAGAGCAAACAGGGGATCTGGGCTCTGACCCAGACCTGACCGCTGACCCACACTGGGCTCTAATCAACCCTCTTTACATGCACTTATGTGGATGGAGACTGGTTCTCACTTTTTTCACCTGAAATTCACATGAAACAGACACTACCTACATCACAGAGCTGCCCAGGAGGTTAAATGAACTGAAATGGGTAAAGCCTTTTCAAAGGTGCCTGACTAAATGCTCTTATGTAATCCAGCTGAAATTTTTCTCCATAAAACATTCCCACTAATTAAAAGTGATTCTTTTTCCACTAACTAAATTTTTTCCATTTCCAAGCATTATTATCTTATACTTTTTCATTGTTACATAGGAAAAATTCTTGATCTTTTTGTATACTCATTCTTACAACTTACATCAAGATATTAACATCTACGTCC